AATAATGTAGTAAAAGCTAGCTTTAAGAGCCTTTTGCTTAGAAGTTTCAGGTTTGATTTCTTTATCAGGGTAAAAGTCATGTAAGTAGGATTTGAGAAAATTGAAGATTTTTCTAGAAAATTCTGTTTGAAGTTGTGATTTATCTTTTATGTTATCAGAAATTGGGAAGTTAGCAAGTCAGTCGAATATTGGATTGGCTTTGATTTTTTGTTGATTGTTAGTAGTAGTGATTTGGGGTTGTTGTTGCTTTTGTTTGTTTGTTTTTTGCTGTTGTTGTTGCTGTTCTTTAGAATAGAGTGGGTTTTGATATAGAGGTTGTTGTTGTTGTTGTTATTGATTGTTGTTGTTAATAATGTTATTATCTAGGTCCATGTCATTTGTAGTATTATTGTTGTTATTCGGTGAGGTTGTGAATATGAGTTCGAATGCTAATAGGTTATAGGAACTAATTGTTTGTTGGAGTTTTTAAATAAATGTAGATTGTTAGATATTTGCACATATTTTATGATGGGGTTTGTCATTGTATAAAATTGCATCTGCTGCCAAATAATGTTAGTTGTTCATTTCTTTATAGGCAATAGGCAAGTTACATTTTGCATATTGGTAATTATGTATAGTGGGTGAAGGTGATGCTGTAAGAGATGGTAGAATAAATTCAGTAGAGTTTGCAATGTTATTTGCTAGAGATTTTTTGTCTTTAGATTTGTTATTGGTAGAAATAACTTTATGTTGTTTATAGATTTGATTGGTAGTTGAGATAAAGTGAATATAGAATTTGTCACAAAAACATGTAACAATAGAACTAGATTTAGGTACTTTAAAGTAATAACAACTTTTAGTTTCTCCTCTAAGTTCTGTACTTGAGCAGTTATTTGATTGCTTATTTGCAAAAATGGGACGTAATGTATTAGCTACATCTTCGAGGATACCAATACCAAAGCTTTTAGGACACTTTTAATAAAAATAGTTAAGATCAATAGTATCAGGTGCAACTGTTGTCAAGGTCAGCATTTTGTTCTAAAAATAGATTCTTAAGTATGTTTTAGGAAAATATTTGTTTAATTTAGAAGTTTCTAAACTAGTTAGAAAAGTTTGGAAAAGTGTATGAGCTTCAAATAAGCTTATTGAATATTTAGAAAATTCTAATGGGTGTCAGAAAAGTGAAATTTCCAGAGCAACCCAGCAAGTTTTCTTAAAATTGCCAATGAAAAAACCTGCAGAGGGCAAGTTTTTGTTTTCACTTTTTGCTTATATCTTAGTGAGTTTTGGTCTGTTTTAACAAATTATATATCAAAATGTCTGTCTTAGTGAGTTGAACAACTTTTGAATAGTAATGAAGTTAGGTTTAATTAGTAAAATTATATGTAAATAAACAAAAACCAAAAACTTGGTTTTTAGAACTTTTCTCAGCAACCAAGTATTATTGGTAAATAAAACTTAGCCGCCTAGGAGGAAAAATGTATGCTAAACAACTTTACTTAAGAGGTCATGTAAGGTTTACTTAGTAAAAAGTAGAGAAATGATCAAATGTTTTTTTGTAGTTTTGGTATAAGTGATCTATAGAGAGAGTTGCTTAATTTTTACTTTTACTTTATTAATTGAGTACTTTAATTGATTATCTTAATATTTACAGATTTTTAAGAAAAAAGATAAGCAACAGTTTATTATTTCTGTGGCTTCAACAAAAAATTGTATGATTTTTGTTCTATAATATATCTTAACAATCAGATGTTAATAGCTAAATTAACAAAGAAGAGTAGAATATATGCCTAATTAAAGCAGTTAGAAATATTCTGCTAATGTGTTTATTAGATAAATTTGGTAAATTTATATTAGATGGCATCTAAAATTTATATTAAATTAGTATTGTTATAAGACAATATATAGTTTATCTTTAAGACCTTTATTCTTATAAAATAAACTATTGGTTTAACTTAAATAGTAGATACTATATTATACAAGTATTTAATTATAAATTAGCTTTTACTTATACTGATCATTATAATTTCTTTAAAGTTCCAATCTATTATTTGTTTATTCATTTATCTATTAGATATTCAAATTAACTATATTTGAATATCTGTTTTACTATTGATAATTGGGTGATGAATTTATCCATATTGGAAATCTAATTTTATGTAAATACTTTACTAATCAAAGATTGTTTGAACTTATAAAGAATTAGTCTATTCAGTTCATTGTTGTCAATATATCAATTAGAACTAATAAACAAACAGATTTAATTAGCTAATAGTAACAATTTATTAAAATAAATTATGACTCGTGAATGACTTTCTAATGAGGAAGTCAATATTTATTAATAGTGTAGAATATCAATATTGTATATAACATGTTTTTAAATGAATACTAATACAAAAATAGTAAATATATATTTAACAAACAGAATGAAATAACAGGTCTAATTAAGTTTGATATTTCATGTAAAAGCCTTAAATGTCTTTAAATTTCTATAATAGTTTTACTAAGACATGTATTTACCAATATAAGTTTTAATTTAGTAATATGAAAATGGCATTCTTTGATCAAATAATAGTTAGTAAGAGATATATAAAAATTTGATAAATTACAATCTGCAATCATACCAAATAATAATAATTATAAGATTATCATACAAACAATAAACACTATAAATATTAATTTTCTGTTTAATCAATCATTTAAGTTTATAAGATTTTCTATACATTATAATACTAGCATTAGCATTAATTTATTCTGAACTACATATACCTAATATTTATTGTTGATAAATGCTACCAATTATTATTAATAAAGATTAATGATATCTACTTTAGATCAGTTATAGTATTAATAGTATAGCATAGTTTTAGAAAGTTTAATAGGTAACAACTGAGAAAGGCAATTAGTATAAATAATAATTTATCTACAAATGTTTTCATCTTAAATGTAAAACAGGCTAATTACAATGCTATAAGTTACAGAAATGCAAAGTGATACACCAGTAATTTTTTTAATTTTCAGAAGATAAAAGGTTTTAATTTTAATTATATTATTTAGTTAATTAAATAAAATGACAAGATCATATTTCTCACACTTAAACAAGTTACAAAGCAAGTTTAATATATAAAAAATCAGATCCATGTATGATGATGTAATGTTGTAAAATTTAAATACATTCAATGTATTATTTAATTATTTATGAGTTTTTGCTGATGAACATCATTTAAATTATTGTATAATCATACACTTCATGATTGCATTACTCCATTCCTGGTAAGATAGCTGTGCAATAATGTTACACAAAACCAAGAACAGAAGACACAAAGAGTATTGATATTGCATCTAGTAAATATATAGGTTGTTGCATTATTGGGCATGTGTTGTAATGTGTTATATAACAGTACATTATAGACTGTACATAGCAGAATTTTTAAAGACTGTGCAGTATGACCTTTAGAATTCAAGTTAGTTAGAATTGTGGCTAACTAGCATAATTCTAGTCAGGTTGAATAATGCTGCATAGTGGCTTATTCCTAATTGTAGGTATTGTAAGCAAAATTTTTAGAGCATACTAATTTTTTTCTTCACTTTCTATTGGACAAATACAACTATTATTTTTTATTGAATGAAACTAATTATATTTCTGATCAGATGACTAAAAAGCTATCTAATGTGCTGCAATTAATTAAAATTATTATTATTAAAAAAATTATTTCACAAATATTATTTTTATAATAATTAATTATTAAAATTTTTTTAAATAATTTTTTTTGCTGTTTAATACTAATGTTTTGCTCTTTTGAGTTTTAGTATTTTTAGGTTTTTAGTAAATAATTTCACATGAATGATTAAATAATTGTTTTGTAATTTTATTGAATATCAATATAAAAACATATTGTATTGTGTAAAATTTTTAATTAAAATAAATGTTACCTATTTTAAGACATATTTCTATCTGTATTTCATTTACTATAGCAGTTTTGCTTACTAATGATAATATTTTTAACATTGAAGAGGATATTTATATAGATATTAGTAATAATAAGATTGATAATATACTTAAATTTATGCTAGATGCAACTGATGGTGTTGGCCAAGAATGGAATGTTATAGATAATAACTTAGAGGTGTTGAAGACAGAAAAAGTGAAGACCAATCATTTTCAAGTAAATGAATATATAGAGTAAATTAGAAATCTTAAAAGGGGCAAGTTTCATCAGAATAAAGTAGATTTGAAAAAAAATGAATGAACTGAAAGATGATACTGCAATCAATATAGTGATTACAAAAGTAGTGCTGAAAAAAATATAAATAAAAAATCACAATTAGTGCAAAAAGAAATGAAGAAATGTGGTTGTAAAAGCTGCATTTTTGTTATACTTTTTGTTAATTTGTTAACAGTGACCTTGAATTATTATTATAAGCATAGTTGTCATTATTCTAGATAACTATCAGATTTGTATATATTGCCTTTTTCAGAAAATATTTGTGAATTCATCCAACAGCATGCACTTAAGAGGATTAATGTTTTTAGTATACAAAAGTTAATGCAGTTTTGGGTAATTGAGTTACAAGATCAGATTTTACTTATTACAGTTGACTTTTGTTAATATTAACCTGTTTGAATCACTTTTATTTTTATTTAATATTGATATTAACAAGGAATTATAATTAATATTGATATATATAAGGGGATTTTAATTTAATTTTAATATATAGTAATTAATTTTATAGCCTAAGTTAAAATTAATAAGGTTATATTAACAAAAGTCATCTGTATTTTATTTTATTTTATTTTTTATTCTATAATTATTTGGTTATCTTAAAATTTTTTTTTAGGTGTATTTATTAAAAAACTCCAAAAATTATTCACAAAATATGCAGATGCTATAAAATGGATTAATTATATAAGATAATATCTATGCAATAGTCTATAATATGATGAAAACATCAGCTTTTCTTGATATTGATGAGGTTTGTTTCTTAGAAAAATAACAAAATAAAATAATTAGTAAGGGTAAGGTTTGTATATTAAAAAAACATAATAAGGTAGATGATGGCAGGTTTGTGTTTAGGTTCTAAATGAAGAAACAAAGAGAGTTAATGAGATATGTATGAGTTATATGTTTAGATAGTATGTATAGAACAAATTACCATGGATATATTTATTTACACTTATTATACAGCATTCAATAGTGGAAAATAGATACCTCATTGCTACTCTAACAAGTAAATTTAGAAGAGTAACAATGTTAAAAACTTGGTTTAATTTTTTAAAGTGTAAAAATAAGCAGTTAAAGCCTGGTACATATTTTTATAGCAGATGATGCAGATGAAGAAATTAAAGCTATGTGGAAGGCCAGAATAATGACATTCAGACCAAATATACAGGGCAGACTATGGTACCTTGCACAGCTATGAGAGCCAAGTATATGGTGATTAACTCTGTAGAAGACAATTTTGAAAGATCATTTACAACATCTTTAATCTTCTATGATCTTCATATATACTTTAACAAATTCTTTCTTTGATAGCATTTACTTCTTCTCTTTAATAATCAAACTATTCAAACTATAATTCAACATATTGATAAATATAACAATAACAAAACTATATCTAGCATTACATTTTTTGTTAATCATCTTATAATAAAAACCATATATATCTTCCTAATGACACTTTTTTACCAAATTATATCATTATTGGCTCATATAGTGGCAATCATAAATAATAGAGCAAAAAAAAAATAATGATTTGATCATATTATTTCACGCAATTCAGGTTGAATTCTCGATTTTTTTTTTTATTATATTTGTAAATAGTATTCTTTTTCAATGTTAGAATATTAGAAATGGTCATTATTCCCAATGCAAAGATAATTGCACATGTATTACAAAATAAGTAATGCATTATTTTTGATCATTTTTGACAAAGATCAAAATATGTGATCTGTGAAATGTAAATACATATAAAAGGAATTTCATTGTTAATTATTGCATCTTGTGCAATGTTAGAATTGATTAATAATCAAACAAAAAAAAAAAGAGGCATATGACTCCTGCTCAAAGAGCCCATATATTACTTTCGCTTCAGAAAGAATACACTACAAGGCAGATAGGTCGGGCCTGTAATGTTTCTTCTTCCACAGTCTCACGAATAAGTCAAAAGTGATCAAAACACCACATGCTTGAATATTTTGGAAGGGTTGGTCACTCACCAAAAGTGGGTGAACCAACCCAAAGAAGGATTGTAAATTTAGTTACCTCCTGTTGGTGCTCTAATGCCATGCAAGTGTGGTCCTACTTAAAAACAAATGAAAACCTTGAAATTTCTGAGGCTACTATTCGTCGTATACTCCATAGCCATGGTTTAGTGTTGGGGGTTAAAAAAAAAAAACCCTACCTTAGTAAATCTTGCCAAAAAGTGCAGTACAAATTTGCAAAAAAATATGAAAATTGGATCATCGAAGACTGGTCAAAGGTAATTTGGTTCAACGAGTCAAAATTTCAAATTTTTGGGTCAAATGGAAAGCAGTACTATTGGAAGCGTCCTGAGAAGCCGTTAAATCGGTTCTATATTAAGCCTACAGTAAAGTATGTAGTGGCTCAGTTATGATTTGGGCTTGTTTTACCTCTCACGGCGTTGGCAGCTTTTGCAAAATCGACAGCACAATGAATGCTGAATTATACTGGCAAATACTTTGTGAAGATTTTTTAGAAACTGTGAAAGATCATGGTTTTGATGTTAAGGATATTATTTTTCAACAAGATGGTGCAACTGTACATACGACAACTTTGACAAACATCTGCTTAGAAGGAATAAGGTTAAGTTTTTTGATTGGCCTTCCCAATCACCCAACCTCAACCCTATTGAACACTTGTGGATTGAGGTAGACCGACGTCTTAGGAAACTTTCCAGTCAAATTTCAAGTAAACAAGACCTTTGAGAAAAGATCCAGAAGGTTTGGCAGAAAATTGATCTCGAAACCTGCATGGACCTAATTAAGTTAATGCCAACACGTATTCGTGATGTGATTAGAGCTCGGAGTGGTTACACCCGATGGTAAAAGTGAAAATCAATTAAAATAAAAAATTTTTTTTTATTTTTGATACAAATTTTTTTTTTATATATTGATTGCAGTGGTGCTGCTATAAAAAACGAGCAAATTAATGCAGCATGTCAATTTAAATAAAGCTCATGTCTATAAAAAATTTAGTTCATTTTTTTTTAAAAAAAAATTTATTAGTGAAAACAATACTATTTGCGAATTTAATAAAAAAAAAATTGAGAATTCAACCCGAATTGTGCGAAATAATACGATCGAACCATTTTTTTTTTTGTTCTATTATTTATAATTGCCACTGTATTTTTTTCCTATATTCTATAATTTTTCTCTCAAATCTTACTTCTTTAATTTTACTTCTATCCCATCTGATCTATTTTTTAACAACCATTCTTCAACCTCCAACTGTAATTTTTTCTCACTTTCATCCAATCCAATTTAATATTATCTTAATCTAACTGTTGCTATATATAATGTTAGAGGCTTCAATGAACTTACTAAAAGAGAAGCATAACAAGATTATTGCCTTAATCACAACATATCTATTGCAAGCATTACAGAAACTAAAATCTGTAACAAAACTAACCTTTTCTTTTGCAATAATAGCTTTTTTTACCTACTATTGGTCTAAGTCTCTTACTTCTATTAAAAGTACTGCTATTATGATCCACAATAACCTTAAACCTTATATTTACAGTATTCATATCTATTTTGAAGGTACTATTGCACTTGATATTTTCTTTTAAAGTAATATTAAGCTCTGAATTATTTCAGTTTATCTGTCATCAACTGATATTACTACTTGTAACCAAACTCAGAATACTGTTATTAACTAAATCCAACAAGCCTCTCAACTTAACATTCATTCTATTATTCTTGATGATTTTAATATATAAAATAATACTCAGCCCCTCTTTTAAATATAAACTTATTAATTTTCTTAACAAAACCAATATGTATAATATTGGAGCTTACCTTAAACAAACATTTTACCTAGTCCAATAACACTAGTAGTAGTCATATTAACTATATTTGGACTGCCCAATTTAATATACAATTTCTCCTTTCTTACAGTCTTAATAACAACCAAACCTTAACTTTCAGTAACCATCTAATTTTTATCTCTACATGGATATTCCCATATGCTTATAGCAAACCTTTATATAAACATACCAGTATTAGTCATTATATCTTTAACTACAAGGTTATATCTGCAGAAGACTGGGAATCCTTTGCAGATACCTTATTCCAGCAACTCATATTGCACAAAACTTATATTAATAGTAAAACTGATGAAAGTATTGAAACAACTTGGCACAAAATTCAATGCTCTATTATTTACTCTACTATATATACCATTTCTAGTAAAGTCTCTCACAAATGTAGCTACAATTATCAATACTCATCTCATAGTACCCTATTATATTTATCTTTTAAAAAACTTGGTTACATTATTAAACTTGTTAAAAAACTTATCCAATATTCTGACATCTTCAACATTAATCAAAATATCTCTCAAATTAACAAACAGTCACAATGTGATCTTCAACTACTTAACTCCACCAACTCATCTTGTACTCAACTATGGCTTCAATATGTTTACTCTATCTGAAAACAACTTTTCATGCTTGTCATCTTGAAAACTCTCTTCTACTTTGACAACAAATTAACAAAGCTATCAACAAAAGATGTGTTATTCTTATATCACATCCTATACAAGCTATTAATAGCATTCTTAATCACTATTATTAACCTGTTTATTTCTTTAATATAAAATTGCTAATAAGCTCATAACTGATCTACTACTTATTAAACAGCATGTTCAATTACATTTTTATAACTAGACTATATTTAGACCTATTAATGAAACTCTTTTTAATAATTTTTGACAACAACACTATCTCTCACTTTCTTATATTAACCCAACCTAGTACCAATCTCTAAACTTTTCCATTGCAAATAAAGAACTTTCTCAAACTTTCTCTCAGCTTTCTAACAATAAAGCCTATGGTTCTATAGGCATTAGTTATAAAATGCTTAAAAACATATTAGCTCTGAATGCACCTCTGCTATTACTAGTCTTTTCAACTGTTATCTTCTTGA